TATATATTTTTTGAGCCCATCCATTTCTCCTACAGTCATATTCCCCTTTAGAGTCCAGATTATGATTTCACTATAGGTTTGAAATGTGCTTATATCACATATGTGATAACTAGGGCACATATGTTTTACCAGATTCTTCTTTCACTATTATATCTTCCTTATTAGTAATTTCTCCTAAATTATCAACCATTTACATTCACCCAACTATCCATATTGGTTGGTCAGTACTAAATCCAAAGTAGAAGCCACCATAGTTTCGTCTATATTTTGAGTGTTGAAACTGTGAGCAAAGCCAGTAGAGAATTGATTAGAAGCTCTGCTTTAACCTGAGCTACACTTTCGGCAGAAAAGTACCATGTCTATCAGCCTCCTGAGAAAGGATGGGTTTCCAAACTCAGCACACATGGACCTGTGTGGCCCCTGGGCCTAGCTAGCTTCAGCCTCTGAGGAGGAGAAGGAGGAGGAGGATGAGGAGGAAGTAGAGGAGGAAGAGGAGGGGGGTTGCTACAGGCTGGCTGAATGTGAGTGAGGGCACCGAGGCAGTCATTGGGCCTCTTTCCTGGAATCCTCTCCTCAAGGGTCTGTTCTTGTGCTTTCACAGGCTGGAAAGCAAAGACCTCTTGTTCTGACTGCCTCCTTGATTCTCTTTGCACCTTCCCTTGCAACCGGCAAAGGGAGGTCCTAGGCTCTCCTCACATTTGGCTGCTGCCTGAGAAAGCCAGATATGGAAGCAATCTCTCTTCTCTCTCTCTCTCTTTCCCTCCATGTGTCTATTGAGGTAAGGTAGAGACCTGGGGTCCTCAGGAGGTCTGGAAATAGTGTTACCAGATAATGTACAAGATGCCTAGATAAATTTATTATTTATCTGAAATCCAAATTTAATGGGCATCTGTCTTCCCCTTCACTGAGAAGTCAGCTCTGCAGCTCAGGTGTGGGAAGTCTAGAGTAGAAAAGAACTAGCCTGGACCACATGGCCTGCTTTGCTGCAGTGAACAGTGTCCTCTATGTGTCAGTCTTAGGTAAGCAGAGGTCTGTGCTGCGTACCTCCCCATGTCCCTCCAGACCAATTTCCTATCCTTCACCCTGCTCAGTGCCCTGGGAGGCTAACATATGTAAATTCTGTCAGGAAGCTCCCTTGCCCATCCATCTTCTTGCAAAGAGTGTTTGACCATTCCTCTCTGTGGGGTCACTGTGGGGCACCGCCTCCCTCTGTGGAAGGCCACAACTCCTGTCAGATGGCCCTCTGCGTGCAGAAGTCCTCTTGAGGCCCAGGGATCTGCTCCTTTTCTTTACCTCTTCAGGCCTAGGGGCCAGCATGACCCCCTGCTGTCCCTTGCTGGTGGGGGGGGGGTGAGGGGGATCATAGATAATCTAATCCTTGTAAGTTTCCATACCCACTGCCCGCACATTTTAAATAGTCCTTTATTCCCCTCTCCTCAAATTATCATCTGTTTATTGCCAGAATCCCGACTGCTAGAAGATCTACATGGGAGCTGGTACCATATCTCAGTGTTAATTTTTTTTTTTTTAATTCCTGTCCTCTGTTTCCCTCTTGTCCTCTATGGATTTATTTCTTTCAAGGGCTTCAAGGTTTGGAGTTGAGGATTGGATTTTGATATTTCTGTCCTGCAATCCCCATCCCTTACCAAATAATACCATTTTAATTTTACCTCCTTCCTCAAAACCACTTCTATTCTATATCCTGCTTCTATGACAGTTTTTGTGTATGTGTGTATGTGTGTATACACAAAATATATATATATTTAAAGTAGCTTCTGTTTAGCTAAGTGATGTTAATTATAAACACCCATAATTGTATCATTTAATGTTCTCATCTTCAAATATTTTCGGTTCTAATTTCATCCTCAATGCTAATTAATTAATTCATTAGGAACCTATCAAGAATCTGTCATACACTCTGCACTGTTTGTGCTAATACAGTGACTTATTCCACATGTTCCTACGCTCCCCAAAGAGTTTATGATCTAATTTGGGAGATAAGACATATTCCTAGGAAAGCTCAATAATAACAGCAGTGCCACAATTGCTCCATTTCATAATTGAGTCTCAATTGCCTGGCACAGATGGTCCTTGCTGAGCTCATCAGAGTAAGAGATCACTGGGGACTGGAATGAAGGAGACAGGGAACTATTCTTTTGAAAAGGACTCTTTTGCCTTTTAAAAAATTTTAAAGAAAGGACCATTCTGTGTGATTTTTCCCAAGGATTTATCTGCTAAAGCAACCGGAAGTGCCTAGGTGGTGACTGGGCCTTGCAGTCGTCAGAGAACAATGAGCTGGGTGGAGCTTCTGGGGCTCCCCTGGGTCATCTCCTTGGCTTATACCAGCATACCTAGTTAAAGCTGTCAGGTCAGATAGCTGTTGTTCTATTACGGACTGAGTTACTTTCAAAAATGTTCTCCCACTTCTAAAAAGTCAGAGGTTAAACTTCACTAAAAAGTATTATGATGTGGGTATTAGAACATGGATAGAGGGCTAGATATTCACTGGATATGTGTTCTGGGGAAGTCATTCTTCCAGGAAACTGCATCTCTGCTTGTCCTCAGGGAGAAAATTGGTCCTCACAGAACCCACTTGTTCTCCCGGTTTTAGCACTTTGAACAGTAGTTCAAAGCATGACTCGGAAACTTAAGTGAGGAGGAAAAAGGATGGGATGTCATTCAATGAGTAGTCCCTTAAAAAAATATCATCTCAGCTTTTTAATGAATACATATATATTACCAGATATGAAAGGCCTTCTGGATGTTGCAAATAATGGTATGAATCTTACTATAAATAGGAGAAAGAATGGGTTCTACCAGCTTGGTTCTAAACTGCCATACCTCAGGAATTGGTTCATCCACATAGACCCATTCTTCTGATCCTGGCTTAGGTGGTGGTGGCACTACTGGAGTAGGTGTTATATCTGCAGAGCTGACAGGTGATTTCTTTACTGGTGTTTTTCCTCCTGGAGATTTTCCTTTAGGAGAACCTTAAATATGCGTATCAAATTATTCCAATACAAGTAGACAAATGGGACAAGATTCTGGTGGATCAATAAATATATGATTGCCGTAAACTTCAGCAATTCATCAACTACTTTTTAAGCTCCTTTTGGGCAGTCTTATCAAATCAAACATTTAAGAAAAAGCCTCATTTTCCACAGCCTCGAAATTAACCAATGATACTAATAATATAGTGAGTTGCTTTCTTTTTAAGCAATCTAACTTCTCTTTTCCAATTGGCTATTAAAGACAACCTGATACTTTGTTTTCATCTCTGTCTTTGCTTCCACAATGAACATGTAGCTCTTACATAGTTTAGACTCTAGAGCAAAGTGTATTTCATTTCTTATTGCATAACTGGCAAATTAAACTCTCTATCCTGAATGAGAAAAAGAAGAGGGGGTACTGTGCTCCTGAATATCCCCACGGCCCCACAGGAGACACAGGGTTTCTAGGGGAAATTATATTTCTTGCTACAGTCAGGGAATAAAGATCAAGGTAGTTGCTGGGCCGTGACCCTGGCTGAGTCAAGGCATAAGAGAGAATGAGAAGAGAAGGGAAAGGAAAGGAAGGGAGGGGTGAAAAGGCAAATGAGAAGGGAGAAAAGGAGGAGGAAGTCTAATTTTCAATTCAGAATTCAAACAGACATACACCTCACTTTCCCTGACATCATCAAGAAGGAAATCTAGATTTGTTAACTGAGAGCACCAATATTCCCTGAAAGGATCGAGGTTATTACAGTTTGAAAATTCACTCAGTTTAAAATTCCACTTACCTTTAGATTAATTACTGGGATTTCTAAATGAAGTTTAAAAATACCTGTAGAACTGGGAGCACTTTCTTTCCCCAAAATATGTCTTTAATGAGTATTATTAAATGATAATGCTGCTTAGAAAAGCAAATACATCTTCCACTCTTACATTAGTTAAAAATAAGTAGATTATAATTAGAGGAGAAATTGTTAATTGTCTTGTGGACAGTTTAGGTGTTTAAAAACAGTATCTATTATCCATAGATCTGAAGTTGTATCTAAATTTTTGAAAATTTAGAAAAGTTTAAGTGAATCTTTGGTCAGGCAGTAACTGAAAATGTTCTTAATTTGATATACATTTCTACATGATGATTTTTCAT